AATGCATATGAGACTCAATCTCCCCCAGTGCCAGCTTACGGTCTCACCCCACAAACTTCGCCATTTATGCAGCAGCAGACTCCGCCCCAATCATTCCCGCCGCCTCCCCAAGCAACCCCTCCCCTGCCTCAACGACTTCCTCCGCCCCCTCTTCCTCAGGGAACCCCTCCCCCTTCCCGACTTCCCCCTCCCCCTCCTTCTGTGAACACCCCTCCACCCCAACGTTTGCCACCCCCACCTCTTCCCCAGGGAACTCCTCCTCCACCCCCATCACAAGCGCTTCCGTCTCAACCACTTCCACCACCTCCGGCACAGCGCCCTCCACAGGCTTTCTATCCTCCGAGCACACCGCACGAACCGCAGGATGCAGGGACTGCTGCTGCAGGTGCATCGTCATACAATTCACTCTATAATGAAGCACCACACGAGGAGCCCAGTGTAGATGAGCAGGGAAGTATGGTGCAAGACGAGTTTAATGCGGAATATGCACCAGCTGGTGAGGAGCAGGCAACGGCTGGCAAAGGTCATCATGAAGATGAGTTATCACTCGAGGATGCAGATCCCGAAGCACCATCGTTCGATGATTCGGCCACTGAACCCACTTCTGATACATTGCAACCCAGTGCACCACCTGCCAATAGCGTCGTCCCACCCTACACGCGAGCGCCGCCTGCATTCTCCGTTCGTTCCAACAGCCCTCGCCAATATGCTCTTCCTCCATCTCCAGTAAATGGCCGTTCAAACCCTCTCGTAGACTTTAAGAGGACTTCATCACCTTTGGCTTTCACGGGACATGTTGGAGAGAATGATCCATATGCTCCGCAACGGGATGCAACCGACACTGTAGACTCTCGCTCTCCAGCTCAAGCAAACACCTCTCAACTTCGTAGTTCATCGCCGGCCACGCAGTACGGTAACGCCAGTCGCAGCCCGGTAGTGAACCCCTACGTACCAAAAGCAGTAGTTGGAGGTGAGAGGGTTGCCTCACCTGCCAACTCGTTGAATGGACACGCAACAGGGCCTACAGACCCCTATGCACCCAAATCCTATGTCAGTGCATACAAGGGTGAACGAACTAGTTCTCCAACGTCGTATGCCGTACGCGCTGTGAATGGAGCCCCCCCTGCCAAGGGTTATCCTCCAAATCCATACGCGTCCGCGAAGGACCCGAGGAACCGGTCTTTATCGAATAGCTCTATGCTGTCCTCGGCTTCTACAAGCGCAGAAGACCCGTATGCGCCACCTCCGCAGGGAAGACGGATATCCAGTGATGCGCACCAAGCCACTCATGCATCGAGGTACAATTATCCGACCACGCAAGAAGGAAATCATTATGCTCCCAAGGCACCAGAAAGCTCACTAGTCCAGGAACTTACAGTGAAAACGTTGCAGACACCATATGCCCCTTCTCCCTCCCTTTTAGGTGCCAATGACCCGCTGGGCCGAACTTCAGTCCGCGTTCCGGTCATATCTTTCGGCTTTGGAGGCAAGCTTGTTACTTGTTTCCATGGCGCTGATTCCTTGAGCACTGGTTTTGACGTTGCTTTGTCTGCTCGCAACTCTACTGGAATTCAGATTCGTGTTCTGAAGAAGCTTATTCCTGACTCTGCCTTGGACCCCTCTACCGCTTCCTTCCCTGGTCCTCTTTTCGGTGAATCTGGAGCGTTAACTACTACGTCGCTTGTCCGCACTGGTGTCAACACACAGACCAAGACGAAGAAAGGAAAAGTCACCAAGTATCTGACTGAAAGGGCTGACGAGCTCGCCCTCGGTCTTCGTTATGTTGGGACAGATAGTATTGAAAGTCGGCAGGCAGAGGGAAAACTTGTGCTTGTCAAATTGTTGCAATTGATGGTGGAGCACGACGGTCGTTTGACTGGAACGTATGTGAATTTCGTACAACGTCGGCTTCCGCATACTGATCTGTCCTCGTCATAGTTCTGAACTAGACAGTGCTGTGCGATTGGCTCTCGTTCCTCGCCTCGAAGGCACTTTTGGTTCCAGTGGCTTCCAAGCTGTTGCCGATACTCCCCTTCCAGGGTTCCCACCAGACTCACAAGAGACTCCTATATCCGTCACGACGCTCCGTTCGTCCACCCTTGACAAAATTCAGGACTTCCTCTTGCGCGGAGAGCGTAAACAAGCCTATCATGTGGCGTTGGATGAGAAATTGTGGGCTCATGCAATGATTATCGCAAGCAGCGTTGACAAGGAGGCTTGGAAAGAGGTTGTGCAAGAGTTCCTCAGAACGGAGCTGGGAACAGCGACACCTGCTGAGAACGTTAATGGAGGATCTGCTTTTCCCGGGCGAGAAAGTTTGCGGGTGGCATATAGCCTCTTCTCTGGCCAAGGTGCTGCTGCAGGTATGTTTGCATCTCGCCCTCAAGAAATTGCTCTCTGATCATCTTGAAGTTCAAGAACTTGCTCCGCAAAACCTTCTTGCGCGAGCTGCTGCTCGACCTGGACCAGTTGCTCAAGTTCCACAAGTCACACCCCATCTTACGCCGAGAACCCCAAATTTTGCTTCTTTACCTGTTCAAACCACTCCTCTTCCTCCCCAAACTCTTTCTAAATGGACAGAAACGGTCTCAATGCTGTTATCGAATCCTCTTTCTCCCGAGAATTCTGCTGCTCTCACGGCGCTTGGTGATCAGCTAGCTGCTAACCAACTCTTCGAAGCAGCTCACGTTTGGTAAATTTTGACTTGTACTTTCCGGATAGGTCGCTGACGCGATATCGACAGCTACTTGCTAGCACCGCAGACGTCACCCATGGGCGGAGTGAATCAGCCTTCTGCCCGCGTCGTTCTTGTCGGTTCTCGCAACCCTCAAACGTCGCCAAGCTTTGCAAAAGACCAAGATCCTTTTATATTTTCAGAGATTGTGGAGTTTGCATTGTCACTTGCCACCCCTGCCAAGGGCCAAGAAGCTTTCTCGGGCATTGCACACTTGCAAGCGTATCGTTTCATTCGAGCCATGGCCTTGGCTGAAATCGGCGATATCCAACAAGCTAGCAAGTTCGTATATATTGTTGTTTACCAGGTTTTCAAATGCTGATCATACTCCAGGTACTGCGACGCTATTACTGCAGCAGTCAATCGTGGATCTCCATATGCAACCCCCGCCTTTTTGGAACAATTGAAAGGCCTTAGTGACCGTATTTCAGGTGTTATTCAGGTCGACAAGTCCTTCTGGACTGGGGGTAAGCTGAGCAAGCCCAGCCTTGATTCCATTGGCGGTTGGCTTGAAGGAAGATTCACCAAATTTGTCACTGGCGATGCTGATCTGGACAAAATGCCCGAGGAAAATGACATCAAGCCAGATGAAGGTGCATTCGCAGGCCCTTTCTCTCATTACAGCACGATCTCCTCCAATACACCATCTGCGAGATCCTCCCCTCAACCTTCTGTTGTCAATCTCAATACACTTCCTCCAGCCAGGTCTGGGTCTGCCATGTCCTATAATACCCCTCATGTCAATCCTCCAATTGACCGTGCGTCTTCAGCTATGGATTACTCGCGGCCTAAACCTGCTCCTCCTGCTCCTCGCATTCTATCTGCCAACGCATCTACAACTTCCTTTGGGCAAGCGCCGTCATTCGGTCAGGCTCTCAGCGCTCAAAAGGCTTCCAATGGTTATAGCCCAAGTGATGATCTTGTCACTCCACGACCTCCACTCGTTCCTGACGAAGACGAACCACATGTACAAGAGACAACATGGTGGGGCGGCACTGGTTATGAGGAAGGCCCTGCGACTGCAACACCAAACGTTGCAACCTTTATGCAGGTTGATCATAGTGCTATACCAGCATCCGCCTCGTCAGACGGCTTTATCTCTCTAATGGACAACTCTGCCTATTCAATTGGCTTACAGACATCCTCATCAAGGACTTCTTCGCAAGCTTCCCCAGTTGTAAATGACGAAGATGACGAAGATCTAGGGTTTGGAAATTCGTCAAATAAAAATCAGCGAGAGGCCAACAGAGAGGCTTCAAGTGATGGGAGCGTTGGAGCGACATCCAGCCCTGAGCCCACCAAGGCTGCGCCACCACCTACAGAAGGTGAATACTTTTATGCTGCTCCTGAATGCAAAACTGATATCTCTTTCCTTAGCAAACAATCAGCAGCAATCCGGTTGGTTTAGCCGATGGTGGAAAAAGGGTGACGCTCCACCTGGACCCGTCAAGGCTAGTCTTGGAGAAGAGTCTGCTTTTTATTATGACAAGGATTTGAAACGATGGGTCAATAAGAAGGTTTGCAGTTTTCCGAGTGATACTGAAAGACGTTTATTAATGACGGTTGTTGATTCAGGCTGGTGGTGAAGCCACCCAACCATCAACTCCACCCCCACCTCCTTCGAGAGCTCAGACAGCATCACCAGCAATGTCTGGCCCTCGTCCACCCGTGTCTTCTGAGCCTGGGCCCCCAACCAACCGCTCGACCTCGGCTATTGACATCAGTACATCACCCCCAAGCAGGACCACCATGCGCGTGCGTTCCAACCTTGCTCCTACCCCCGAGTCCGCCCCCAGCACGCCTACTGGTACGAGACAACCACCGTCAGCATCAGGACCACCACCGGCTGGTCGTCCCAAATCCCAAGCATCTAAGAGGAACGTTCGTAGCCGTTATGTTGACGTATTCCAACAAGAAAATGCTGCATAGAGATATTGCTCGTAATACAATTGCTAGCATACTTAGTTACTTACACCCATCAATTATATCGTACCGTACATAACATGATTTTTCTCAGCCTTTCATCTATGGCGTTCAAATGGTAATAACGTAGCTCAAATACTGGTAAGGAACATTGCATTTGATGGAGCGTATAAAGCAAACTTATGCTCCAATTCAACCTTTTCTGGCAATTTAGTCCCCCCCGACCTGATGTAACTGGCGGGTGAATATGGACTGCAACCTCCTGCTCTCTAGCTACTGCCTCCACATTGTTTACACTCCAGCGCCTTGATCTCGTATTGTCATACTGTGGCCCAGTCCAACAGCCCGTGTAGCTCAGTGGTAGAGCATTGTACTTATGAGGTTGCCTGACCTAATTGCGAGATGCAAGGGTCCCGAGTTCGATCCTCGGCGTGGGCATTTTTTCTTAACTTCGCATTGTTTAAATTAATTTATTGTGGCGCATAAGCCCGGCTGCCACACGTAGACGTGGCAAAGCCCCGCATTCAGGCAGGCGTCTTTGACTTATCGAAAAAAAAAATCTCTCAAATAATGAGTCGTGACGTCATTCAAATTACTGCTCCTCTCTGACTTATCAGAGAGGATGCTCTAAAATTAATAGAATTATGGCGTAGTTAAATGGTAGGAGCAGGAACCATGCCCATCTCCTCTGGCGTCAAACTAGTACTCTCGATCATTACACCGACACCGACCTTGGCAGCATTCTAGAAACCGTTGTCAATACAGTACTCTGACAGGAAAATATTGACATACCTTGAAGTGATCTATCTCGCCGGATACCAAGAATGCAAAGGCAGGTGTGAACCGTTGCTCCAGCAATGCTGAAACCTTGCCGGTAGAGTCGACCTGCGCGCGGAATGTCGCTAGACGGAGATCATACTTGGCACCCAAGGTTGCTATCGCATCCCGCCGAGTGGGAGTGGCAACGCATTGCAAGTCTGCAGCCACTTCAACCTTCTCGCTGAGCTTCTGCCAGTACGTGGCTTGTAGGACTCCAGCACCTTGCACTTGAGCCGTCGCAATCCAGCTCTTGTCATTGCTGGTGTATTTCGCAAGATATGACGTGGCAATCTCCCCCATGTCGGGTGACATGCGCTGGTAAAGCGTCTCGCATCCCAGAGCAATATTTTTGGTCAAAGACTGCAGGTAACTTCCAACGAAAATACCCGTGAGGCCTACGGGCCAGGGGTTGATTGCCTTGGCATTAAGGCTGAAGTCCTGTCCTTGATAGTCCTGCTCGAATTGAATCATATTTTGAGTCGCTTGCGAGGAAAACTTGAGAAACGTATCTCATTAGGACCATGAGACGACGTAGTTAACAACAGTCGCACCTGTGCCTGAACTTTAGAAACGTTCTTTTCTGACCATCCCTGATGCAAGCGAGCATTAACGTTGCCTTCGTGGTCGACACCGCCTTGCAGGAATACCTGCGTCATGCGTCATCAGTTATACCGTCCCCACGACGTTCAAAGAAAACACGGAGACACACCGAATTATCTGCAAAGATTGCGCCAAAGTTGTATGAGGGGGGTACGTTTTGTGCGCCAAGAGCAAACGAGTGAGTGACTTGGAAGAGAGGGCTTGCTGACAAGCTCTTCGTCAAGTCGGCGCGAGCACCATCGAAAATAAAATTAGTGAGGTGAGTTGCTACATGTGTCATAAAGGGTGAGATGACAAGTATATAATGAAGGCAAGTTCACGTACCCTTGACTTCCTTTTGAAGGTTTTCAACTGTGCCAGGGTGGGGTAAGCCTAAATCTGTCCGCCACTGGTTGAAACGTTCAAAAACATCGGTGAAGGGGGAAATTGGGTTGAAGTAGGAGGGAGCTGAAGGAATATGTGCCTCCACTCCTTTCTCAGAATGTGAGGTGGATGCCATGACGGACCAACTGAAATTTGTTCGTGTCACTCCGTTGGCAACCTAGCCCAAAGAAAAAGACGTGCCAAACATAGCCAAGCAGACCACGTCACATGATCATTGGCAACCTCAGCGTCGTCGGGTACGCTCTCCCGGCTCTGCTTGGAATGAGAACTTCAACGCTGAACATTGAACAACGATAAACGTTCTACTCCACATGCGTAAAAGCGCAACGGATGCTCCACGTGTGTATATACATATCTACATAACCTCATAGGCCATTCGCATATGGTCCCAAGCTCTCTCGATAACCCCTGTCAAGAGAACTTCAGAGAATGGACAAAAAGAACTGTTATCGTGTGGCGAAGACTCACTTAGTCGCACCGGTGCGCAAGAAAGGGCCATTGTCGGAAAAGACGTGACCACGGGTGCGTGTATTTACTCCATATCTAGATTCCAGCGCTCCACCGAAACAACACGGAGTAAGTAGTGCGCTTTGTAGAGATACATACTCGCACAAACGGAATCATGTACATCTTTGGTTTCAATACGATCAGACCTCATAATGAACGCGGTGTGTACGCTTGCTTTACTTCGCTCCGACCCCTGACGGACTCGAACTGCGCAGCCGTGGAGATACGTTAAGGCTGTATACTGATGTGCCTTCTCTCAGATGCTATTTCCTGCTATTTCTCTATTTTGCTGGTGATCGTTGCCAGATGGAATAGGATGGTGTCTATTCCTGTCTACTCCCACCTGGTCTTTCCGACTCCGAGACTCGCACGCCAACCCGGCTATCTTGAAACCTACTAGGGTTTAGATCTTCCCAACTGCGGAACCATGGTCGTCACATCACTATAAATTACCTTGTCTATTGCAGGTCCTCCACATTTGTTTCCGTTTGTCTATACATCCACTGCAGGACCCCATGCTCACGCCTAGGCGATATATTGCCATCGTTCTAGTGGTAGTGGTGAGACTGATTCTCTGTCTCGTTTTCATAATCCCAGCTGATATTGAGACACGTCTTAGTTGAGCTTGCACTTTTTCCTTGCGCTCGTCGTCAAAGATTATGGGGCCTTAACTGCACGCATATCTGAACAACTTCGGATGCCTCCTCAGACCTCACAGGTGGATACCTCTTTAACTACTTCCGATGCACTACAAGTCTACGAGGAACCTCGCCAAAATAGCACCAATTTCACCTACCAGCGACGGGCCAACGCCACGTTCGTTTTGCTTTGTCGAAATCGCGAGCTAAATGGGGTGGTATCCAGCATTCAACAAATGGAGGATCGATTCAATAGATATCATAATTATCCTTGGGTATTGCTTAACGAGGAGCCATTTACAGAAGAGTTCAAAAAGTGCGCCTTGCTCGTCTGATGTTCTTGTACTTGGGCTGATCTTGGATATCAGACGTGTCTCTGTCCTCACGGACGCGCCCATCTCGTTTGGGTTGATTCCTAAGGAACACTGGTTCCAGCCGGACTGGATAGATGAGATTAAAGCTAGAGAAGGCAGGACCAAAATGATGTGGCAAGGTATCATTTATGCAGGTGTGTCATGATTCAGTGTCATTTCGGATTTCCATGCTCACAAAACTCTTCTGACAGGCAGTGTACCGTTCGTCTTTCTATTGACATTTGCACCTGAGGTTACTCATTCCCCATGCAGATATCGCAATATGTGTCGCTTCAATTCTGGTGTACGTGTGTTCTATTTTTATTACGCGATAGCTCGCACTCACGAGGAGGGGTAAGTTCTTTTTCCAGCATGAGCTCCTGCAACAATATCGCTATTATTGGAGGTCAGCCTTATCTCTTTCACACATGCTTCCAAACTCATCACGGTTGCACATATTCATAGAGTCGAGTATGTTATGCTGCTTCTCGAAGTTCCGAAGATATCTTGACTGCAGATAGACCTGATGTCAAATTTTTCTGCGACGTACCTTATGACCCCTTCCTCTATATGGAAGATAACGACAAAATTTACGGTGCGTGTTGCGCGGCGTAGCAATGTATTTTGGTTTACCCTGTAGTCAGGTTTCACTATCTCTTTAATCGAATGGGAGGCCACTATACCCACTCTTTGGTCTACAGTCAAAGGCACGCAGTTTTTATTCTCTTAAAGACGCACAATTATTTAACTGTTTTATACAGAGTTCATAGCCGAACATCCTGAATATGTGGCAAAGGACAATTCCATGGGATTCCTTTCTGATAATGATGGCGAGAGCTATAACTTGTGTCACTGTGCGTGTAACTCTTACGACAGGCTACCAAACTTGGGACTCATGAATTGGCAGACTGGAGTAATTTTGAAATAGCTGACATGGATTTCTGGCGGGGCGAAGCGTATCAGGCCTTTTTCGATTACTTGGAGTCTAAAGGAGGGTTTTATTACGAGGTTCGTCAAACATTTCAAATACGCTCATGAACATCGCGGTTTACTGTACTTGTAGCGCTGGGGAGACGCGCCTGTTCACAGTATTGCAGCATCATTATTTGCGAACAAAAATCAAGTCCACTTTTTCCGAGATATTGGATATCGACACGACCCCTTTCAGCATTGCCCGCAAGGAGATGACTGGTCCCGTGGACGCTGTTCTTGTGACCCGAACGATAATTTCGGTAAGGTGTCTTGAAGACTTTTCAGATATCTATGGAACTGAACGTTTGCTTCCGTACTAGACTACGCCCAAAACTCATGTATTAGAAAATACGAACAACTATTTGTGTAGCACTAGCATTATATATATGTACTGGAATAATTTAATTTATAATCGCTTCAATGGCAGTAAATAATACATACTGAAAGCGAGTGTTGCACGGAAGAAATAAGCTCGACATGAAGCGCTGTGGCTCAGAACGGAACTGCGAATGATCGGGGACACGTGAATGATGTACGCTCGGCTGCCTCATCGCTGTCGCTTGAGACTCCACTTCTTTTAACTGCGCATTTCAATCTTCAAACTTTACTACTACATTCCTTGGTTTCCCTCCGAGAGGGCATATTTTACTCAACATGAACGCTCAAATGCGTTACGTGCTTCTTATTTTGTTCGTCATTGTAAGTTTCACTGTCCTGAAGCGCCGACAACAATCTCTGACGCAGCTCCATCTAGGTTGGTTTACACTACCTTCTCAGCATATCCAACGAAAGCTACGGAAATGCGACATCTCTTGCGACCATCAAGGGCAAGTTTACCAAAGGTCAACCTCCGTACAAGCAGCCCATCCCCGAAGAATACTACATTAAAACCAACACAAGCGAAGTCTCGACACGCAAAGCCAATGCCGCCTTCGTCATCTTGGGTACGTCGTGTTGTTCTGCTATCCGTAACCGCAGTCTTACATTCCGCGTCTAGCCCGTAATAGAGAATTGACTGGGATTGTCACCAGCGTGAAACAGATGGAGGACCGCTTCAACAAAAAGTTCAACTATCCCTATGTCTTCCTCAACGATGAGGAGTTTGACGAAAGCTTCAAGAAGTGACGCATATTTCCCATCTCTCAATGGCACTTCTAACATATGA